GTTTCCTATTCTGATTAGGATTTGTTTTCTCTATTTAAAAGGCTTGTAACCCTAATGGGGAGGAGGCTATTGAATCTGAGATTTTGAGAGACTTTTCTCTTTGGTTCGTTTCAAAACTTTACAGAACTTATCAAGATTATTCTTGTGGTGTTCTAACCTGACTTATCATTCTCGTTCTTAACCGTTCGAGGGTGTGGCGTCAACCAACTTTATACCTCTGGTTCTTGTTGCGTCATAGACAACGGGTCAAGGTTTTTACCTTTGGTTCTTGTTGCGACATAAACAACGAGTCAATGTCCTATTATAAACCTGATTTAGCTTTCCTGGAGTTTAGAAATCCGTTGTCATGCTGTGGGTCTCATTGTTCTCTTTGGGGTTCTCATCATTTAGGTTCAAGAGAAGTTTAGTTGAGGTCATTTGCACGGAATTACACAGTTTGCATCAAAATCGCACAATTCTGTCGCAATTTGTAGCAAACTGATATTTCGTGTTATTTTAGGTTATTTTTAGTGATTTTCACGTTTTTTGTATTATTTTTGGGTTGAACATTTACTTATTTGAAGCCCAATTCGTGGTTATTAGGTTTAGGGCTTAGGGTGTTAATTTCCTATTCTGATTAGGATTTGTTTTCTCTATTTAAAAGGCTTGTAACCCTAATGGTGAGGAGGCTATTGAATCTAAGTTTTTGAGTGACTTTTCTCTTTGATTCGTTTCAGAACTTTACAGAACTTATCAAGATTATTCTTGTGGCGTTCCAACCTGACTTATCATTCTCATTCTTAATCGATCGAGGGTGTGGCATCAACCAACTTTATACCTCTGGTTCTTGTTGCGTCATAGACAATGGGTCAAGGGTTTTTACCTTTGGTTCTTGTTGCGACATAAACAATGGGTCAAGGTCCTATTATAAACCTGATTTAGCTTTCTTGGAGTTTAGAAATCCCTTGTCGTGCTATGGGTCTCATTGTTCTCTTTGGGGTTCTCATCACATCCACAGCATTTTCTAGTATGCATGAAAGTTAGAGTTGATGTGCTTGTCAAGAAATTCATCGGCATTGAAAGAGATTTTTGCCTATTTATCTTCCTCTTCCCTATTTATGAGCAAGCCAATGAAAGCTTCATACTCTTAGCGAAGCATATGGCTAGGGGAATTTTAACTCAATTTCTTCAAAAGAGGAAGTTAATTTCTGAATTGCTAATGACTATCTCCAAAGCGGCTTCAACTTCTTTTTGGCTTCATATTACATGCACAATGAAAGAAAAATCTCTATTTGCTATACTCCACTTCGAATCTATTATTTTTCAAGGGGAAATTGTATCATCACTATTGGAACTCCAACGATGATGTGACTATGGCTTACATTCTAACCATATATCTACAATGTTTAGAGTCATCACCTGGGTACTTCTAAACTGTATCTATCATTTTGAATTATGCAAGTGAATCTACTTTAAAAGACTCAACCAAGCATACAGATACTTTATTATATACAAAAAGCCTCTAACTTCATGAAAATTTTGTTTGAGCTTCATCTTTGTTATTTATCATCATGATTGAGTTTGGCTTTGTTCTATTCATGTCAGAGCATTATCATTAACAATATCAGATTTCTTGGCTGGACTCTTGCTTTAGCCATGCTCAGTTCTATCCACATCGAAGCATCATCATTAGCAATATCAGATTTCTTGGCTAGACTCTTACTCTAGTAATGCTTAATTTTATCCATGTCGGAGCATCATCATTGATGACGTTAGATTCCTTGGTTGAAGTTTTGCTCTGGCCATGCTCGATTTTATCTTTGTTAGAGCTTCATCAACAACATTAGATCTCTTGGTTGGAGTCTTGTTCTAACTATGTTTGAATCCACCTCTATTGAAGCTTCATCAACAATATCAAATTTCTTGGCTGAAGTTTTGCTCTAGCCGTGTTGAATTACTCACAACACATCTACTTCGACTAGAGGGTTCACATGACTTGTCTTTACATCAAAAATGTTATGTTATATTTTTTGCTGATAATCGCAATGGAGTCAACATCACCAGAAGCAGTACTCAACATTATTCTCAGATACATTGCCAAAATCAGCATTCTCATACAAACATGTTCTACTTCAGTAGCATTTTCTTATACATGTGATGGGAATCAAGATGACAGCATATCTACTACGTCATGTGATCCATTACACACCCAAGGAGGTCCAGTCACGCGAGTTAGAGCTAAGAAGATGCATGAAGTTTTAAATGGCCTTATTGAGCAGATCTGGGTTGAAAACAACATATAACAAGCAAATCGAAGCTTGGATGATTATCAAGGCATGGTAAACATCATTCAGGTTCAAGAGAAGCTTAGTTGAGGTCATTTGCACGGAATTACACAGTTTGCGTCAAAATCGCACAGTTCTGCGGCAATTTGTAGCAAACTGATATTTTGTGTTATTTTAGGTTATTTTTAGTGATTTTCACTTTTTTTTGTATTATTTTTGGGCTGAACATTCACTTATTAAAAGCCCAATTCGTGGTTATTAGGTTTAGGACTTAGGGTGTTAATTTCCTATTGTGATTAGGATTTGTTTTCTCTATTTAAAAGGCTTGTAACCCTAATGGTGAGGGAGGCTATTGAATCTGAGATTTTTGAGAGACTTTTCTCTTTGGTTCGTTTCAGAACTTTACAGAACTTATCAAGATTATTCTTGTGGCGTTCTAACCTGAC